AACGAAATCAGCAGAGCACCTCGGTTTTTTAAAGCTTTTTTCTAAAAACAACCACCCCATATAATTAAACTATTTTTAGGCTCTTGAAATATACAAATTGCTATTTCTAAGTAATACAAGGTGCTTTATTGGAACAAAATCAGCAGACACCTCAGTTTATTAATTTCTTTTTCTGAAAACAATTACTTTAGTCACATTTTTACGTTATTTTTAGGCTTTTACAATATTATAAAACTTTTCGAAACAATTGCAATTTTTAAATATTACAGGGTGCTTTGTTGTAACAAAATCAGCAGAGTACCTCATTTTTTATTTTGATTTTTCTAAATACGTCTTTATGCCACATTTTTAGGATCTTGTTGACATATTATAAAACTTTTTGATAAAAAGATATTTTTAAAAAATACAGGGTGCTTTGCACCTCGGTTTATTACTATCTTTATTTGAAAACAACTAATTATGCTACATTTTTAGGCTATTTTTATAGTACAGGATCCGGAAGTAAGGGCGACCTTCACCCATCTGTTTAAAGTTTTTTTTATTAAACATGTATTAGAAATTAAAAATTAAAAAAAAAAAACAACTTCAAAAACGTGCAGATGCCATCACAACATCTTAACCAAATTTATATGGAACCACACCTGAGGTACCCCCTTACTAACAAAAAAAGAATCATATGAATTAGACAAGGTGTTAAAGCATTATCGCTAAACATACATAAAAAATGAAGAGTTTGAGGATTTTGTCATGGACCCAATTATTAGATTTTGACCAAATTTATATGGGACCACCCCTGAAGTACCCCCTATCTAACAAAAAAAGAATCATTAAAATCGGACACCCTGTTAAAGAATTATCGCTGAACATACAAAAAAAAAAATATATCGGGACGAACCTCCTCCATTTTTGAAGTCGGTTAATAAAATATTTTTATAAATATACAGCAAATGGGTTGCCTAATAAAATACTGTCACAGCTATTTTTTACTTTCATTTCTGTATACAAATAAGGAAAGTATAGGAATCACGATAAAAGTTGCTTGATATGTTATTCTCTATAATTTTGATTCCATACATGATTTCCCTAAAATTCGAGATATTTGAGGAAAAGTGCAAATTTTGAATTTTGAAGTAACTCAAAAACGGAAAATAGAAATAGAAAAATACCAAATTTTAAACTTAAGCTTTAATCCAACCTGTGGTGAGCTGATTAAATTTTGGACATAATCGAAGCATCTGGGGAATAGTTTATAGGGTGTCGTTTTTTTTTAGTTTTGACAGTATTTTCTTAGGCAACCCATTTGCGATATATAAACATATTTTTTCGATTTTCACCAAACGATACGTCAGTCAACGCGACTCATCGAGCCGGACAATTCTTCTTAAGGTATTTTTATTTCTTCTCTTTTAAGTTTTTCCAGGAAAAACATCCGTCCGAAATTTCTCCTGAGGAAAGTTTGAGGTTTTGGGAAAATTTTGACTAAATTATTAAAATTTACTGACATTTAGATAACCAATATTACTTTCTCGTATTGTTAGTTGCATATGCATCATTTTACTGACAAATAGAACATATTAATTATTTATTCTCAGCGACTTAAAACACTTTCATCAACAGATGGGCGAAGGTCGACCTTACTTAGGATCTTAGACTATTAGGCCCTTGAATAAGAAACTTTTCAAAAAAATTGTAATTTTAAAATATTATAGGGTGCTTTGCTAGAAAGAAGCCAGCAGAGTACCTAGATTTTTTAGTTTTCTTCTTCTGAGAACAACTAAGTATGCCACATTTTTAGGCTATATTTTGACTCTTGATATATTATAAAGCTTATTGAAAAAAATTGCTAATGTACATTGAGGTTTTAAAGGGTTTTTCTAAAAAAAAAAAAAAAAAAAACTATGCCACATTTTTGGCTCTTGAAATTATATAAGTAAAACATTTAAAAAAATTTACTATTTCTTTGCGACATGTTTTTCTAAAGTTGATTTCTAAAAATAATTAAACACCATTTTTAGGTTGTTGAAATATATTAAAAATTTTTCTCTGCTATATTTTATGACCCTAAAAATGTGGCATAAGTAGTTGTTTTCAGAAAAAGAAATGAATAAACCAAGGTGCTCTGCTCACTATTTATTAAAAAAAATTTCATTTTTTTTTTAATATTCCAAGTACTTAAACAGAGGAACTTTGCTGGCATCGTTCAAAGCTAGGAAAGCACCCTGCATATTTTAAAAATACTAATTTTTTCGAAAAGTTTTATATTTCAAGAGCCTAAAAATGTGAGTTATTTCAGAAAAAAAAAAAAAAATAAACCAAGGTGCTCGGCTAACTTTGTTGCAACAAAGACCTTGTATTATTAAAAAAAAGTACCCTTTTTTGAAAAAATTTATATTTCAAGGGCCTAAAAATGTGGTGAGGTTGTTTTTATTAAAAAAGCTTTAAAAAAACATGCTGGCTTCTTTAACAAATTACACAGTATTCTTTAAAAATACCAATCTTTTTCAACAATTTTTATATTTTAAGAGCCTAAAAATTAGTGGTTGTTTTTGGAAAAAAACAGATGCTCTGCTGACTTTGTTCAAAGCTAGCAGAGCACTTTCAATGTTTGCAAAAAAACAAGGAGCATACATTTTTTGAATATGGTATAAAAATATCCTTAAAATAGTCTAAAAATATAGCACAGATTTCAACTCAAAATTCCCTAGGTGCTGTCTTCTTTGGCATCCATTGCAAGCAAGAACCTCCATTAAAATTTATGAGACTGATAAACTTCGGCTGTGCTTGAAACTTCAAAGTACTTGGTCTAAACATTTGCCAGTTTATCAGACTAGTAAATTTTAATAAAATTTCTTCTAACCATCTATCTATTTATCTTCAAGTTACTCCATGAAATATGATTGAAACTATTGTTAGTTTTCAAAATAATTGGTCTAAAATCTCAAATAGTGCACTTCCAAAATTAATTTTTTTAAAGAAATATTTGATGTTTCGATCTAGAAAATGTATAAATCCAATGGAGTAGATTGCATTTAAAATTTTACATTTGGTGTGACCCAATGAGGAGTGTCATACATAATTTTATCAGTAATCTATAGATTTAAAGTTCCAGATGAGCTAATTTGGTGCTTGGAAGAGAAGAGCCGTCCCAGATAAATGCTTAACTGTATAAAACAACAAGAAAAAATTGTATAACAAGTCTATTAAAACGACCAGAAATATAACATTCCTATGCAGGTTTCTCTGTGTGATGACCATTAAATACATAATTGTACAGAATAAATTACCTGTAAATACAGAAATAAATAACACTGTCATGTGTGTAGAAAGCAAATAATTTTTATGTGTAATAAAGAAAATAATTTAAAATTTACAAGATCACATACACTTGGAAATTAGCAAATATCGTCGGTCTAAAGCACACTTATTGTATATCCAAAAACGTATTTTTGGACAATCGCAAATTTAAACTTCTAGAAAATGTAATTAAATGCCTTAATTCTCAGTTTTAATTTGAATTTATTGTAGTTTGGTGGGTGTTGGAGCCATGTTGGAGCTACAATGTTTGTGCCCAATAAAGAAGACTAAAATGCGATTTAATTGGTACCAAGATCGTTATAACATTAAATTTGGAGTTACAATATGTGTGCATTAGATCGACGATATGTTAATTGAAAATAGTAATCTAAAAAGAGACTGAAGCAAAGAATAAGCCACTAGAAGGTGGGTAAGGGTAAGCATTTCAAGGGGAAGTTATAAACCAAAAAATATGTGGTAGGACACTGTTAGCAATGATATGAAGGCCCATCGGGTTTAATAGACAAGATTCACATTTAAATAACGCTGAAAGAAAACCAATATGTAGATAGGCTACATGAGTTTAATGACTTTTAAATTAGCCATATGCATTGAAGTGCAATAAGAATAAAAACATATTCAAATTAGATAATAGGATTTGCTTTTATTTTTGAATTTCAATTGTATAAGACAGTAGGAACAAGTGACAATAACAGAATATCCATCATATAGCACAGATTTGAGCCAAACTTTTCCCACAATTAATCAAAAATGAAGCAATGGTTTCAACCAAAATATTTGCGAGATGTGATAACAGAAGAATTCTAGAATAAAACCCAGCAAACAAAACGGAATTCTATACAGAACCATTAAAAAATTTACTTTTGTGTCAACAATGGCGTTTCAGGTACCTCATAGATACATTCTCCCAAAATGAACAATGAATTTGGTATGTACCCATTACCATTCATCAAATAGGAACCATTGGTTCCTTATTATTCAATTCCGATTAAATTTTATTATTTAGGCGTTGACTGTATTTGATGTCGATCCTGAATGGGGACCTGAATAAAAATGACAGGAAGTTGCTCGATTTGGTTACACAACAAATCATATGTTCATCTATGGAAGTAGAATGCAACTAATACGCCTCCTTAACAAATAATTACGTAGGTAGGTTGTCACTTCTTTGAATAATTATTTCATTATTTTAAAACCGAATAAGTTTATTCAAGTTTCATCATCTCTAAAATGACATGTCTAGAGAAATAAAAAAAAAATGTAAACGTCGTTGTTAATTTAAGATCGATCCCAAATTGTTTTTTGTTAAAAATTAGCAATCAAAACCAAAAGAGGCACTTTTGAGATCGTATTTCTGTATAGGAATGCAACATTTTATTAAAAAACCGTGAATCATGATTCATACTTAAGGAATTTGCAGAAATATCTCATTACTTTTTACTTGTGTCGCAAAAATCGATACCGCTTTCTGACATTTCAGTAGATGAAATATTAAACTGATGAGTTTGCGATTCAGTTATTATGTTATTTAAAAAGTAATTTAATATTTTATCAGATAAAAAGAAATTACTTTAGTTTTTTCGTGGAACTGTCAAATGTGTCATAATGGAGCAGCGTCTTTTGAAGGGCAATTTAGCGGTATATTATAGGTAGAAATATAAATGATATTACAAAAATCTACGTACCATCGTATCGTTCTGCTTGTTCCGCTAATTTTGCCTTGTATACATTATCCTCTCTTTCGGACATTTTGGGATGATTTAAGATTTAATTTCACAGCACTTACAACACAAATTCTTTTACACTTTCCGTACTATCAATATGGCTGCGCCCGCCACACTGGAATCACCGATCGTGATCGAAAATTTCTCGGGATATACCGTTTCTTGACGTCACAAATAGCGCTTAAATTTGAATTTGATCAATTTTTCACCCTTTTGTGAAGTTGAAGAATATTTTATTTTTCAAACTTAGGATGATTATCAGTGACAAATAATTTGATTTTGTTATAAACAGAATTGTTTTCCATGACTTCCTTTGTCTTTAATTATGTTTAATAACGTCAGAGACAAACAATAAAGTGATCAAATAACATATTATGAATCTTCTTTTTATTATACATCTTTAGTAGTTAGATTTTAAATTTAAGAGGGATATTTTACATAGTAATACAATAATAGCAATTTAATTTAATAGAAATACTACTATATTTAAAAAAAATTGTAGGTAGGTTATAAAAATATTTTTGCTGAATAAGTTGAAGAAAAGAGTTTATATTGAGCGTCAATATATTATTTATTTATTGTATATGTTTTTATTATATGTTATAAAATTATGTTTTTTTTTTATTATTAAATTTAAAGTATCTTACGTGATCTTTCCCATCTATTAACGGATAGCTGTAGTCTAATTGTACTTATAGGAAACTGTAATTTCAAAAGTTTAATGTTATTTTTTATCAAGAGAGGAATAAATTTTCATTAATTGGGATTTGATTTTGACGTCATTAATTTTAAAATAGTACTTTTGTGTTTCCGCTATTTTGTAAATTTTCAACTTTTTCATAAAATAAAAAAACTTTCCTATACTTTGTTACTAATAGCACAGCTGCTGTGCTAATAGCCTGGCAAAAAATCGAAGTATGTGCCAGGCAATCACTATTACTTCGTAACTGTATTTTGTGTTGCATAGTACTCACTGATACGCTACCTCAGATAAAGATTTATCTGAAATCCTTACTTGAAAGCGACGCTTGAAAAAGACACTTGGAGACACAGACCTTTTATATATTGTTGAGATGAGTCTTTGTGGTAGAGAGAGGCAGGGTTGGCTTGTGGTTAAATACACTGGGTGTTCCGCAAGATTCTGCCCTCCTCAAAAAAACAATTATTATTTTCCAGCTTTTTTATCTGCTTATACATTAATTATATTCTGCTCATATGCCTATTTAAAAAATCTCTTTTCGCTTATTAACTACATCCATAATCCATGTTTTTCATGTACAATGGAAATGTACGCTGGCGAATCATATCACATATATTATGCGACAGACTACATAAACAAAGCTTACCGATCTGGCAAAAATGCAGCTTAAATACAGTGTCTTGGCGTTATTTTTAAGACAGCCGCAGGGAAGTGAAACGAGGAGCGCGGGCGGGCCAGCTAAGAGATATGAATATGATCTGGCGAGCTTTTGTTAAGTCTTCCACTGGTCCGCTTTGGACTTATTCTCAGCTATGAAATGAGACTAAGATACAATCGCCCTCTATGAATATTACTTATTAATAATTAAAATTAATGAAATTATCCTTACAATTTATGTTTGTAATTTTGATACATAAAATGACATTTTTTTTGTAATCGCAGCAAGTGTCAAAACGATCTACTTTACACAACTAGTTGCATAATGTTGAGCAATATGAAACTGGTTTCGATAAATTAATTATGTCACCAGTTGTGAAAAGAAAACAAATGAGAATAAACCTTTTTTTTAGTTTTAAAATCAGTAATATACATTATTATTGAAAGTTTATATCAACGAAGGGCAGGTTGAATCATAAAAATAGAATTTGGTTAAACTTACAACCTAGTAATAATGTTGTTTTAGTCCTTATTTTCAATTCTAAATAAGCAACTAAGAATTAAAACACAATACACAACAAAATAACCCACCTTCTTGAAATTTAAATAACTTTATCAAATATAAACAAATTACAATAAGTCGTTGAGAATAAATGATTATTATTTTTCTATTTGTCTAAAAAAAAATTAAGTTAATCATATGCAACTAACAATACAAGAAAGTAGTAATATTGGTTGTCTTGATGTCAGTAATTTTTTACCAAAACATAATTTTATAATTTTAGTAGGGTTGTCCTTTTTTGAAGCAAAATGCCTTGTGACTTTTTAACGCTTAAAATGTCTTTTTTTACGGCAAATGTCCTTTTTTTATGGCAAATCTTTTTTTACAGCACATATTTTTGGAAGGGATATGGTTTATACAAAAATATATAAGCTGACTTTTTTTTTAGAAGCTCATCGGTAATAACGAAGATTTTTTTTTGTTAAGCTTGACTTTTTTTTAGAAGTTCAGTAGAAAGATGAGGACTTTTTGTATACCAGAGCCCCTGTCAGCATCGTACTCCTTTTTTCACTTTTTAAAAAGGTGGCAACCCTATAATCTAATCAAAATAAGAAAAAATATTGTAACACACGTAACGAAATGCCGTTATATGTAAGTCGTTTATGCTGCACGACCTCGCTCTGCTCGTCCCGCAAATATTAACTCAATACATAAAATAAGGCATTACGCAACTGGTTTCATAAATAGCTATTTTGTATATTTTAGAATTTCTATAATAATATGTGTGAAATGTAGATGATACTTACTTTTTCTGCAGTTCGGCAGCTCATACAGCATTTATGCACCAGAAATATTGTACAAGCAATTTTAGACGGAGATATCAAATTATTTCTAGAAATATTTGCTTACAATAATTAATTCCAAAGCCGAAATCCTACGAAGTGTTGACCCAATTAAGACTAACATTAACGTTTCAAATGTATCTACTACACGTCAAGGTGCCTTGGTTATAAGTTGTGATAACAAAGACGATTCATCCAGATTCCAGCAGATTATCAACACCAATTTGGGTGACAAATATGAAATGAAGACTATTTCTTCTGTACATCCGCGCATTAAAGTCACGAACATGTCTGAAAAATTTGATGATCCCATTCTACTGGACTATCTTAAATCCCAAAACAGATGCTGCTTTAACCGCATAAAAGAAACAGTAAACTTTTCCAAGCTGTCGTACAAGTTGACACGGCCACCTATTATAAGGCTATGAAACTCGGTAAGTTCACTGTTGGTTTCGATTTTGATTGTCCAATTTATTGTGCTGTTGAACCACGTAGGTGTTATAAGTGTTGGGGTTTACATCATTTAGCAAGTCAATGTACTAAAGCTGAACCAGCCTGTCCTAAATGTTCTCTTAATCACGAGCTCAAAGATTGTAAATCTAATACCAATAAATGTATAATTTGTACTTATCTAGTAGCAAATCACAATATAAATACTTCTGTCAATCATGTAGCATGGGATAAAGATTGCCATTACTATAAACGAGCTCTGACAATGTTTAAAAATAAAATTGTACCGATACCGTCACAGTAGCAACCATTGAAGGTTTCCGTATCTGGTACAAATTAGTCTTCAACTGTATTACCAAAATGTTAGAGGGTTAAGAAAAAAAATAACTCGTCCATTTAACAATGTTTCTGCTGCTACACAGTATGCGGGCTACTTCTTTACAGAAAGTTGGTGTAACAGTACCATCAATAATGCTGAGCTATTTGATCTTATAGTGTTTTGATGTTTATAGGGTTGATCGAGATTACTACTTAACACAAACTTCAAGGGCCCTTAAAAAAGAATTAAATACAGTTCTGATTGATACATCTGATGTTCATGGGCGTCGTTACACAATTCTATAGGGGGGGGGGGGGGGGCAAAATTTTGAAAAAATTTTAGAATGTTTATTTGTTGGAAAACAAAGGAAATGAAAAATAAAAGAAAATGTTCTTATGATGGATTTAATTTTTCTGTGACGACATGGCTTACTTACAGCTTTTCCAGAAATAACAGAAAATCGCAATTTATTTTTTATTTTTAAATGAAAAAATTTTTTTATTGAAAATTTGAATTTCTGGGACATTTTTGGGGCGTGTATTGAAAATTTTCTGTAACATATTAAAAAAATATATTTTCCAATATGATGGTCACAGAATAATTGAATCAATCAAAAGAAAGTGTTTGTTCCAGTTTTTCAAACAGAACAAAATTAATCAGATATCTCACTGAATAATGAAGATAAGGGGAGTGGAACTTTAGTAGTAACCCTAACAATGTCACTGACCCATTTGACAGAACTGATACTTAAGTTGTCATAACGAGTCTTTAATAAATAAAATAATAATAAACAAAAAAGACAAAAACTAAAATTAAAAAAAAAACAAGAAACTTAAAGCACATTTTAAAAAAACAAACAGAAGGTGTGATATAAAAGAAAAATATGAACATAATAATATTAAAAATAAAAATTTATAAAAAACAAAAACATAAAAAAACTCACTCAAATATGTCAATGAATACAAAAAAACACTAGGAAAACGCAAATTTTAAATTTCTTTTTTCTCTACTAAAAACATCGATAACGGAAAACATAATTTATTTTTCAATCAGCCTATTTTCATTCATTATTCACTCCGTGCGTGACAGCAACGCCAACTATTTTATGAACTAACGGACGATATGTGCGTATACTGACAATACAATTTTTAATAGAGTTCGTAATTAAGAAATATATATGTAAATTTTAATTTTAAAGCAAGTGACAAAATTATTATTATTATTATATATTTTTATTACTTTAGCTAAAAAAAGTCAATAAAAATCAATAATAAAACATAGGCAGGTATTTACATTTTATCCTAATTAGAGATCTTGCCTGAGCATAATAAGTTGTCATTGAAGAATAGGTTAAATAATGTCAAAATAAAAATATTATCATTATATAATAACGTAGAATTAAAACGTAATAACAAAAATAATTGGTATATTTGCGATTGTAATTTATATTTTCTTCATTTTTAGTCCATCCATTAACCTGTGGGTTAATGGATGGTTTAAAAAAATAAAAATTAGGGTATTTATAAATAATAAAGGTATAATTAAAGTAATATCAGATATTAGTTTTATTTAAAATTTTAATTAACCCATAGAAATTAATGAATAAAACTGGTTTCCTATGAATAAGTCACAAGATTGCATATCAGTCATATACAATAATTAAAGGCAGAAATCTAATCATTTACTAAACTTTTAAGATTTAAGGGATGTTAAAAAATATCATAAAAAAATAATTGCTTAGTTATTACAAAAATAAAGGTTTTTTGTTCTTATTATACAGCTGTCCATTTATTTCTTTTATTTAATTTCGATTTTGCTACTGAACATTCATATAATTTATAGTCTTTTTGCTAGTATAATTTGCAACATAGCAACTCCGGTTGCTCATTTTA